ATTGATAAAAATATAAATATTTCTTAATACTACACATTTATACAAGCTATGTGTAATAAATATATAAATCACATAAGTTTTGTTCCAATTTGTGAATAAAACTATTACAAATTAGATAATATTGTATCAGACAATTTCGTTATGTATCTGTACAATTTTGATGCTTTAAGGAAGGATGAAAAACACTATAATAAACAATCATTGCTGTTATACCCAATAAAAAAGGTATAATACAAAGAATAATAAGTATATTATAGTACCAAGAATTTTTAACTTCATTTGATGAAGTATATATCCAAAATACAGTTGCTGTTATATTTTCAAGAAAACAAACTACATAAAAGAGCACATGCTTAAGAAATGTACTACCATTTACTGCATTCAGATATATAAACACATGTACTACACCAATTATCATAGAAAATAATACAGAATAAATGCGTTCTTTGATTTTTGGAGAACAATGTGGAGCATGATTATAATCTCTACAAAATTCCAATATACCATGAGAATCAATAATAATCCAAATAGTCATACTTATCCAATGAAAAATACAACCAATGGCTGTATATAATGGCCATATACTTGCAATAACACTTAGAGATAATATCCTTGAAACTGCAAAATTATTCATATAGATTTTAAGTTTTTTATGTAATAACAATTTACATACCTGTTGTACAGAAATGCCATAAAAATTGCAGAACTGTTCCTGTAATACCAATATTCAGTTTATCTTGTTGAGCAAACCTAATGCTACGATGGTAACTAGCCATTGCCCAACCCATACTTCCAAGTGAGCTGAGAATACTAGCTACTTGATGAATAACTATAATGAATGTAAAAATGAAATTTATTCTGATAAGAAATATGATGTATTAGTTATATAAAAATATATATACATTCAAAATTGATATTGCTATGATAATGCTTGAGTAATATAGTTAATTGTAAAATTTGCTGAGGAGCAGCTTCAAGAAAACATTCAAATACTCTTAATAATGCAACATCCTGATCTTCCTTTAACATTTTAAGATAATATCGCCTTTGAGAATTACGGTCACTCTGCTGTTTGTATTTATAAGCCTTAAGGGCATACTTTAAAGTTTGGTAATAGCGTAATACTGGTGCTAATTGAAATGCAACAACTACAATGCAACATAATTTGTTTGTTAACATTGTGTGGTTGCATTTTGACTCAGGTTGATTTGATGTTGCATTTCTCTAAAAAAAAAGAAAATCATTTTTAACATAAATAACATAGAAACATATACTGCTTTTATTTAAAATAAACTTTTACCTTGTTATCTTGATATTGCATTCTTTTACTAATTATGACATTTATAAAAGAAGGTAGAAAAATAAAAATTGTTGTCCATATGAAATATGTTATTTTGTTTGCTAATAAGTATCTTATGGCAAGATTAATATCAATTGCCATATCCAAAATGTGCATAAGGATTGAAGATACAAGAAAAAAGATATCAAAGTAAGATATACTTGGATTTTTTAAAGGAACATCTACATCATCAACGTTTAATTCCAATACAGGAAAAATACCAATAATTTGTCTCGTATGAAGATGTTTATTACTTTGAATTTCCATATTCACTTACTGTTAAATAATCTTGAGCATCATAATTCAAATTGAAGTGCTAACAATGTACAATTATTAATTATAGAATTTAAATTCATTGTAGGATTATTTCGTTCATATTTAGCAACATAATTTTATGTTAAACATAACCTCAGCATAAAAATATTTTTTGTTTTATTTCTTTCAAGAACAGTATCATAGTAAACATTATTATTGTATTTACTATCTGCTGTATAAAGTAAGCACTTATCTATTTAATTGATATGTGAATATAATTTGATACATTTTGATAGATATAGTTACGTGTAACTAGTTTTTAAAGGTTTAATAAGTCACTAGTTCAAACTTAATTAACACATAAAAATCTATCCGATTTAATAGAACAATGACACGAGATTATTTAAAGAAAACTTTTAT